ATATAAATACCTCGAATTATTATTATTATTAAAAGTAGTGTATACCAATTAAATCAATATTTGGCATACTTTATCTAAAACCAAATTTTAAAGATGCCCTAACCTGTCTGTGTGTGTTACGTTCATCTCTCAGGGCCTACGATAAATTACGTTATATGCCCAGACCTTAGACCCCTGGCCCCTCGGCAATATGAGTACATGTAAATACTATACATTCACACACGGCGCCATTTAGGATATTCGATCTTTTAATTTTTGCGTATTGATTAAGTTAACACCGATTAAAAACAGGAAAAGACGGTTTTTGGATGTACTTATATTTTTATAGAATGTATTTGATTGTCGTTTTTTTCATGTCCTCTTTTGTAATGCAGACATACCTGTAGTAGTCGAGTCAGCAATGTCCCTCAGTTTCACCATTTTTACTTTGACTTGTTATTACACAAGGAATGAGAAAACCCGTAAGCACCGTAATCTGAAGTTAATTGCGCAATGAAAAAACAACGTCTTACTTTAACTAATTCCGGATATAGTTCAATACTACACATAATTATCCTTAGATATGGAAAAAAATGCCGAACGAAAATGGTTAACTTTGGTAACCTTTTCAGATCTTCTCGTTTGTAAATCAGGGCTACTCGACATCAATGAATTTACACTGCCGCATATATAAACATTGTAGCAAATTAATTATCATCAAACTATAAAAACGTTATGTTATATTTAGTAAGTTTTTTAACTTCTAGTCATATAAAAATTAAGTTTTATTTATTATGTATTAAAATCACCTATTGCTTTTCTGCTCTCCGTTTATGAGTACAGCTGTATATATACTGGAGTTCTAAGAAGACATCATATGCAACGGACTATTTTATGTTTAATTTCTACTTAATGTGGTTATATTGTTCAAATTCTTAAAACAGTTGAAAGTGCAACTATCATTTCCAAATTAGATATCGATAATGTACATGAATTTGTCTGCATATGTACACGACAGAACCACTCGCAGATTTTGGTAATATAATATGAAAATTAATAAACTTACTTATATCACAACATTGACCTCATTTTCCATTCTATTGAAGTTTTGTCAGAAAGACTCTTTGAATAGTTTTGCAGAACAAGATAACGGATTGTTAAAGTCCTTTAATTTATTACGTTTGGTTTGGCTTTATAAGGCAAACGCTAGTGTCATCTGAGGCCGCGAGTGAATTATCCATTACATCATGTAGACAGCAAAATACTATGTTTCATTTCCGCGTCAGAATAATGTTTCTTCCCGTGCCTGTTTGGTACCTTTTACTTACCCGTGAAGTGTTAGTTCCTATCATAGCTTATAAGGTACGGTAAAGCGCGAGTTATCTTCCGTTCCATCCTCATTAAACTTTTGTAAGACGATTGGGCACTGCTGAACTTTGACACTTAAAGGAAACATTTGCCTAAAAGGATGTCTACCAATATGGGGAAACAGGTCCAAACTACTGAATTTACCTATTATTTAGTCTAAAGACGAAACGCTGATCACTATCTATATCATATTTATTATCAGTCATTCCGTATCCCATTGGCCTTGAAGGCCACACATACGCATGGCTTCACTATGAAAAGAGTTGACAATATGTCAACGTATTTATTTTTTATAATTGAACACCTTACCTGTCAATACCTGCAGCGTCGTGTGAATGACAACAGTAAAAGCCTAAGAGCGAGTAGTTCTACAGAGGTGACTAAATGAGATGATAAACAGTGAACCACAGTGTACCCTAAACGGTGTTCAGTTTAAAAAAAATATTGATGTATTTGTATACAGACATCATTTGTTTATAAGCCGTGGTCCCAACCCGCCGTACTTGCAAGTGCGTGCTGTCTACTTGCAAAAACGTGGGCAAAATTTGGGGATCCGTACGTGGTGAGTACCGCTTCAGTACGGATTTGGGAGCACGCAGACACGCCGTAGGACTTTTAGTGCATGAGGAACTTTCGTTGCGTGCGGGATGCGGTCGGGCTACGGATTCACCCAAGTACGGGTGACGCGCGTGCCTTCTACAACCAATGAGCACACAACGCACTTTCCCACGGTCACTTGCTCTACGGACGGCGTACTTAGCACATGCGTGCTGCGCACGTGATAAGTAAGTGGGCTGTGCTAACCCGGCACTTCCCCAGTTCTACTGTCCACAATGAGCATGCAGAACTGACGTGGACCGTACCGAGTAAGCACGTGCTCCGCACTTACAACGCACGTTGTGCGCACTGATTTCTGCATTATATATAAAAGCCGAATCAAGGCAAGTAATACCACGTGATGCTCATGCGCTGCCACTTGAAGCTGCTCTTGCAGCATCAGAACCCGGAGTCTCTGCGGTGGAATGGGCAGCATATTGAGGCAGCAGCAGCTAGGACTTCTGGAGAACCTCGGAAGGTCGTTCTATATATCCCCCCCCCCCGGCATTGGGCAGAAAAACCTCATGATCATCGCTCTTCCACGCACTTACAACATGCGAGTGAGTAAGGACACCGTACGTGAGCAGCACGTGTAAGTACGGCCTCTGTAGGATAACCTGGCAATCGCACGGAGATCGTACGTTGTAAGCCAGTTGTAAGCACGTACATCTCACTTACCACGTGTGCAACGTACGATGCTCGCAACCGCTCACGGCCAGGCGTGGCGTGCGTGCCACGTACTTACACCTTGCGCAACCGTGCGAGTGACGTGCGTTGACGTACTCTCTCCCTGCTCTTGCGGCCGTGGCCTCCCCAAAAAACGTACGGACTAAAAACACGCACGGTGGGTTGTGACCGGGCCTTTATACAAACCAGCAAGAAGCGTGTCACATTCAATAAATTGAATTTTATTTATCCACAAATATATACAATCATTATTTCAAACGGATGCTCAATGTATTAAGGAATATTTTGCTGGACAGAATCTATATTAAGTACATTATATTACAATCATACATAATTGATCTTAAAACCAGACACGACACTTAATATGTATACAGTTACAGTAGCGCCATGTTTTAATAGGCATTTCATAGAGCTTCCACCGATTCTTGGTGAGACAGAACACCGGTATCTTGTGTACCACTTTACCCACCCGTACACACTTAAACCGGTCCCAGGGCAGCCGACGTGTGTACGAACAGCTTCTCCTGTAGCACAATGCAATAAACGTTGTTAATTTACAATATTGCAAACACCAAATGGAATGAGTACATTTTTATCGTTTCCTTTTTTTTTTCAAAGGATCGTATCTCCAGTACAAAATCTTGAACAGTGTTAGGGAAATAACATATCAGACCTCGTTAGTTAGCCTAGAATTGAATGTTTCATTATAATACTATATGTCATATGACGATGATGTCAACACAACAGCTATGATCATATGACGGCGGTAACAACACACCATCTATATGGGTATGTGACGACGGTGTCTAAATATCAGCTTAGGACATTGACCGCAAGTTAAATAAAAAGTGAACGTTAAGAAAATGAAATGAATAGAACACTACTGCAGGAGGACACTTGTTGTTTGAAAGCTTCCATAAAAATGAGATAATACATCGTGTGATAGTTCGAAAATAGTATGGTACACATAAAAGCATATTTTGTAAATGAAACTCTGAACGGTAACGCTACAAGATATTGTATGTAATAAAGTTTTATAGTGATGCAATTATTAATACCGTTTAGCGAAGTGCACAGATGACAATGACCGTCTCACTCATTGGAGTTTAAAAGGGCGCTCATCTAAATAAGAGCGATCGAGTATCATTTCATTCGTTTGAGTTATGAAAGACCGCTCATCCAAATGAGAGTGAGTATCCTCTGTGCTTTGAGGACAGAAGTTTAATTTACAGGATTATAAGTACAGTGCACATGAGCTCTGTGGATCGTGTGTTCATCGTTCTGGATTTGTATGCAAGTTTTAAACTTGATAGTTTTAAAGCTTTGGCAATAAGTGTTAGCAATATGTTTACTTACGGACAAACCACACTTGGATATTGGAAATCTATAAACGGCGCAGGCGTTTCACAAAAGCGGTCTTGATAATACACGTATTTAGAGAGCTTTACTGGGGAAAAAATCCGAGGGCACACGAAGCTCCAGTCAGGGAAGTAAATACGCCACGCGTCTTCATTCCTACAACATAAAGTAATAACAATGGTGATCTAGGAAGGTACATTTGTACTCCGAAACACAAACAAGATGTTGTTTTCTGCAGGATATATTTTTGTTGTTAAATTAGACATGCACAAAGCTGTTTTTAAAAGAAACTTTTTGCACCATGCTGATACACTTTAATTATTCCACCTATACAAATAAAAACCACGACTTAACTTATATTGATCCTTATGGTAAGTTTTCATGTTCCAAAACAATAATTGATGAATCAAAGTTCTGCGTGCATATTTTCTTTCATTAGGATATTTGATATTATTCGGGATAAATATAAGAAATATATCTACACTCTACTGAGCTCCTTTCCTGCCTTGATTGAGTTTTTGTATCTCATACTTGGTATCTTTCTGGAAAAAAAGGAGAGCTTGTGATACAATACCTATCATACAACCTAAAATGTTTCCATTATACAGGTCCTTTTCTATACATCAAACATTGATATTCATTCTTTATTCTCCGTCAGCTTTAAAGTGATTTATATCAAAAAAGTTTCATCTAATTAACAAATACGTGTTAGTACATAAAAAAAGATAGTTTATAATGCTGGCATATCTATTTTCATTCTATACATCAAACCTCAATGGAAACCTGTTATTCACACTAAGATTCACCAATAGAAACGCATATAAAAGGGTAAGTGTTCTTACGTCTTTAGTTTTCTTCTAAGTTGTAGCTTTGTCAATTTCGAAAGAATTTCGGTAATTTTATAATCTTGTGGTTCATTGAAATTTGGCAAATTATCGCAAAGGTGAATTGTTGATTTTGTCGCGTGGAACAACGGATTCTTTGTAGTGCTTTCTTCTGATAAAGAAAGATCATGAGGTTGTGGTGGTGGTTGTGTTCGAGGTTGTGGTGGTGGTTGTGTTGGAGGCTGTGGTGGTGGTTGTGTTGGAGGTTGTGGTGGTGGTGGTTGTGCTGGAGGCTGTGGTGAAGGTTGTGTAGAGGGTTGTTGTGGTGGTTGTGTTGGAGGTTGTTGTGGTGGTTGTGTTGTAGGTTGTGATGGTGGTTGTGCTGGATGTTGTGGTGGTGGTTGTGTTGGAGGTTGTGGTGGTGGTTGTACTGGAGGTTGTGGGGGGGGTTGTGTTGGAGGTTGTTGTGGTGGTTGTGTTGTAGGTTGTGATGGTGGTTGTGCTGGATGTTGTGGTGGTGGTTGTGGTGGTGGTTGTGGTGTGGAGGGTTGTGGTGGTTGTGTTTGAGGTTGTGGTGGTGGTTGTGCTGGAGGCTGTGGTGGTGGTGGTGTTGGAGGTTGTGGTGCTGGTTGTGCTGGAGGTTGTGGTGGTGGGTGTGGAGGGGGGTGTTGTGGTGGGGGTTGTGGTGGAGGTTGTTGTGGTGGTGGTTGTGCTGGGGGTTGTGGTGGTGGTTGTGTTGGGGGTTGTGGTGAAGGTTGTGTAGGGGGTTGTTGTGGTGGTGGTGGTGGTGGTTGTGCTGGAGGCTGTTGTGGTGGTTGTGTAGGGGGTTGTGGTGGGGGTTGTGGTGGTGGTTGTGTTGGTGGTTGTTGTGGTTGTGGTGGTGGTTGTGCTGGTGGTTGTGTTGGAGGTTGTGGTGGGGGTTGTGCTGGAGGCTGTGGTGGTGGGTGTGTAGGGGGGTGTTGTGGTGGTTGTTGTGGTGGTTGTGGTGGGGGTTGTGGTGGAGGTTGTGGTGGTGGTTGTGGAGGGGGTTGTTGTGGTGGTTGTTGTGGGGGTTGTGTTGGAGGTTGTTGTGGGGGTGGTTGTGTAGGGGGGTGTTGTGGTGGTTGTTGTGGTGGTTGTGTTGGGGGTTGTGGTGAAGGTTGTGTAGGGGGTTGTTGTGGTGGTTTTGGTGGAGGTTGTGGTGGTGGGTGTGCTGGTGGTTGTGGTGGTGGGTGTGTTGGAGGCTCTGGTGGTGGTTGTGTTAGAGGTTGTGGTGGTGGTGGTTGTGCTGGAGGTTGTAGTGGTGGTTGTGTAGGGGGTTGTTGGGGTGGTTGTGGTGGTGGTTGTGGTGTTGGGGGGTGTTGTGGTGGGGGTTGTGGTGGAGGTTGTGGTGGTGGTGGTGTTGGAGGTTGTGGTGGTGGTTGTACTGGAGGGTGTGGTGGTGGTTGTGTTGGAGGGTGTTGTGGTGGTGGTTGTGTAGGGGGTTGTGGTGGGGGTTGTGGTGGTGGTTGTGTAGGAGGTTGTTGTGGTGGTTGTGTAGGGGGTTGTGGTGGTGGTTGTGGTGGGGGTTGTGGTGGAGGTTGTTGTGGTGGTTGTGTTAGAGGTTGTTGTGGTGGTTGTGTTGGGGGTTGTGGTGGCGGTTGTGTTGGAGGTTGTTGTGGTGGTGGTTGTGTAGGGGGTTGGTGTGGTGGTTGTTGTGGTGGTTGTGGTGGGGGTTGTGGTGGAGGTTGTTGTGGTGGTGGTTGTGTAGGGGGTTGTGGTGGTGGTTGTGCTGGAGGGTGTGGTGGTGGTTGTGTTGGAGGTTGGGGTGGTGGTTGTACTGGAGGTTGTGGTGGTGGTTGTGTAGGGGGGGGTTGTGGGGGGTGTTGTGGTGGTTGTGGTGGTGGTTGTGTTGGAGGTTGTTGTGGTGGTGGTTGTGTAGGGGGTTGTTGTGGTGGTTGTTGTGGTGGTTGTGTTGGAGGTTGTTGTGGTGGTTTTGTTGGAGGTTGTGGTGGTGGTTGTGCTGGGGGTTGTGGTGGTGGTTGTGTTGGAGGTTGTTGTGGTGGTGGTTGTGGTGTTGGGGGTTGTTGTGGTGGAAGTTGTGCTGAAGGTTGTGGTTGTGAAGGAGGCTGTGTCGCAGGTTGTGCTGGAGGTTGTGGTGGTGATTCTGAAGGAGGCTGTGGTAGAGGTTGTGAAGGAGGTTGTGGTGGTGGTTGTGTTGGAGGTTTTAGTGTAGGTTTTGTAGGAGGTATTGGTGGAGAGTATGGTGGCGAAAGAGGTATTTGGGAATGTTTTATTGTTGGTGTTTTTTGTGATAACTGTGAAAATTCATCTTTTGTTGACTTAGTCGACGTCTGGGAGAAGGAATGGGTTCTGTTCGTTGGCCTCGGCGTGATATCTAGGGAGATTCTTGATGTAGTTGAGGAGGACACATGTTGACACGTTAGAAGTAATCCAACAAGAAGATGGCATATCGTCTGGGGAAGAATATATTATACATATTATATTAATATAATAATACATCAACGAAATACCAGTCAGCATATCAGAATTTAGCTAAAAAGCAGTGGATTTATATAAAACACTGTATTCAAAGATATTCATGATATTGTTTTAAGTTTAATTTTCTGAATCGATTCCTTAAAAAATATTGAAAGCGAAGAGTGGCATACAGCGTAGACTTCACCCTAGTCAAACTGTGTGAAACCTGTGCTCGACTACAAACGTTCTCGGAGGCAACTATATTAACATGAGCAAGCGAAATAATACCAATTGAAACAACAGATCGAGCACATCTCGACATCAAGACACATAGTCGGTATAGAAAGACAGGAACAGAGCACGTCTCGACATCAAGACACATAGTCGGTATAGAAAGACAGGAACAGAGCACGTCTCGACATCAGGATACATAGTCGGTATAGAAAGACAGGAACTGAGCACGTCTCGACATCAGGATACATAGTCGGTATAGAAAGACAGGAACAGAGCACGTCTCGACATCAGGATACACAGTTGATATAGAAAGACAGGAACAGAGCACGTCTCGACATCAGGATACATAGACGGTATAGAAAGACAGGAACAGAGCACGTCTCGACATCAGGACACTTAGTCGGTATTGAAAGACAGGAACTGAGCACGTCTCGACATCAGGATACATAGTCGGTATGGAAAGACAGGAACAGAAGACGTCTCGACATCAGGACACATAGTCGGTATAGAAAGACAGGAACAGAGGACGTCTCGACATCAGGACACATAGTCGGTATGGAAAGACAGAAACAGAGCAAGTCTCGACATCAGGACACATAGTCGGTATAGAAAGACAGGAACAGAGCACGTCTCGACATCAAGACACATAGTCGGTATAGAAAGACAGGAACTGAGCACGTCTCGACATCAAGACACATCGTCGGTATAGAAAGACAGGAA